AAAAAGCGGAGTCCAGGGGCCTGGTTGAAGGTTTAATGCGTGTTCAGTCTTTTACTTACTTTAGTTTCAATTTTAGTCTATCGCCGTGATCAATCTGACTCCAATTTCAAGTGATCATTAAATTTAGGCAATATTTCTACAAACCCGATTCCAAAAAAGTTGGGAGTTTTTAGGGCATCCTGATTATCTGTGGAAGAAGATGTGTCTGAACAGTTCTAATGACTGCAGAGAACTTGCCTCATCTCATTGGAAGAATGACAAGGATTGTGATTAGTCATGTCTGGAGTTCTGGTGTGAAAACTGTGGAAAAACACCATGCTGTGGGTGTTTTCTGACTACAGAATCCCCAAGTAGTGTTTTGTCATTTCCCTTATATACCCAGATAAGAAACAAAGAATGTTGTAAAAACATAAAAGTCCTTTTGGTTTTTTAGGTTCTCATGACCCAGGATCGCACCTGGCTGGAGATAGATAAACATTCTCACAGACCCTGAGGGGGACACACCTATTCCTCAGCAGAACACAATTCTACAAAAGTTTTCAATCTTTCTCATAATATAAGTGACTACTGTGATATTGAGACCATTTTACCAATTGCATAGAGACCTTTAGAACGATACCAACCATGAAGGGGAAAAACAACAGGTTCACAAGATACATGATATGTGGTATAAACCTTTTGAGGGAAAAGAGTGAGAGGGAGAGGCAGAAAAAACAGGGAGAAGGGAGCCGTAAATGAGCAAGGGGGTGGTGTTGTTTGCTCTCTTTGGAGATCTCTTCTTCAGATTAGTTTTATTGCTTTGTTGCATGGCATCTGTTTTGTGTGAGTTCCTGATGTTTTGGATTCATGAGGAAATAATTTCACTCCATACACCATCTCTGATCTAGGGCCACATTTGCTTGTTTTGCGTTCACATATTTACATTTACACCAAATACAAAGTCTTTTCAGAGTGGAGTGAGTGATTTCACAGTTTTGCTCTGGAGACACTAGCTGCTTTATGCTTGATGCAAAACATCCTGGACCTCCTGAACGCTGACGACTGCATGACTACAGCATTAATAACCTGAGTGCTAGAGCCAAGCGCCAGCTTTCCATTTACCTCCTGTCAGTAGACAAATGATCAGGGTTAAGTTGCAGACATCAGCGTTGAGCAAATGAGTCATAAGAGATTTACCTTGAGAATGTTCAGCTTTACTTCTTTATTAAAATCACAATCTGAGCTTTGTTGCAAGCTGTTTTTTTTGTAATTCACTCAAAAAAAATCTTAAGAGCTTTTTCTTAAGGGTTTTTTAGGGCATCCTGATTATCTGTGGAAGAAGATGTGTCTGAACAGTTCTAATGACTGCAGAGAACTTGCCTCATCTCATTGGAAGAATGACAAGGATTGTGATTAGTCATGTCTGGAGTTCTGGTGTGAAAACTGTGGAAAAACACCACAGCCAAGTAATGTGTCCAGTGTTACATCAGTCGCTCAAACAACAAAAGCACATCAATAGTGACGTGTCGACAGAGACTTTCAGAGCAAAGGAATGCACATGAGTTTGATGAGTTTAGTGCAGGTAAGAATAAAAGTGTCAATGTTTGTCCTGAATGTCAAGAAGCACATCAAAGCAGCACACTTGCAGTTATAGTGCTGGTGCTGTTCAAGGTGTCACAATATGAGTCATCGAGTCTAACACATGGGTTAAAACTAATAATCCAAAGGCAATAAGAATAATTTCTAATAATTGCACAAGATGCAGTACATCTTGAGGGATTATGACTTCATCGGTTGTTCAGATGTATCTATTCTCTGTTGTAATCAGGAGTTTGCTCACTATTGCAAAGACAAGTCTTGGAAGACAGCACAAGCATCCTCAAAACTTTCAGACAGTGTTGCTCAGATCTTTGCAACAGTTGATTGTGATTTTACTGCTCATTCTTATTTGCATTCTGTGTAACTGTAAAACTGATCATTGTCAGTGAATTAATAATAGCTGTAATAAAAATAATATAGTAATAACAATAATATAATAAAACAAACCCAATTTAAAACTGTATTTCTTGTCCATGTATTTATTTATTTGGTACAGTCAGCCCCTGCTTGATCTCTCAATTGAGATTAAAGTGATAAAGAAGCTGATGGGACTTTGAAAAAAATGCACTTAAGCTAAATTTAAAAGTACACTTCGTTGTTGTAGGTAAGCCTACAATAAGAGTTTACATGATGTTTATTAACAAGGCCCATCTTCTATGTTGACAGACATGCTACTTTCAAAATGATGCCTTGTAGAACTATTTTTATTGACTCGTCTTTAAGAAATCAGGGTTTTTTATTCTGAAACCTCATTTAAATACTAACACAGTTTTGCTTACACTGTGTTTAACACACCTGGATTTGTACCAGATAATGCAAAAACTGTATTCTTACAGTTTTGTAAGGGTTTTTGTAGTTTACAGTGTCTGGTGAGGAAGATCTTCACCAATCGGGTCTTTGCATAAGAGTGGAAGCTGTTGTTGCAGCATAGGGAAGGATTCATGCTTTTGTCATGTTCAATAAGCACTTACAGGTGCTGGTGGACGGGTTTCCATGCTTTTTCAACCAGATATTTCAATTCCATTTTGACTGGATGCTTTGAAACTAGGGGGTGTAACGGTACACAAACATGACGGTTCGGTGCGTACCTCGCTTTTGACGTCACAGTTTGGTATGGTTTCAGTACAGCAGGAGGAAAAAATACTAAACATAATATTTTTTTTAATTAAACAATGTTTTTCTCTTTCTTTAAACAAATTCAATTAGAATTACAATTTTCTTTAGCATAAGAGTGGAAGCTGTTGTTGCAGCATAGGGAAGGATTCATGCTTTTGTCATGTTCAATAAGCACTTACAGGTGCTGGTGGACGGGTTTCCATGCTTTTTCAACCAGATATTTCAATTCCATTTTGACTGGATGCTTTGAAACTAGGGGGTGTAACGGTACACAAACATGACGGTTCGGTGCGTACCTCGCTTTTGACGTCACAGTTTGGTATGGTTTCAGTACAGCAGGAGGAAAAAATACTAAACATAATATTTTTTTTAATTAAACAATGTTTTTCTCTTTCTTTAAACAAATTCAATTAGAATTACAATTTACAATGTACCTCATAAAATAAAAAAAATCTATAAAAAACTACCGCTGCTCTAAACTATAGGGAGCCCTTTTACTGTAATAAGGTTACAATTAACAAAAGAGCCCAAACTAAAATGTAATTACTATTCATTTATAACTACAATAATCAACACTCAAATTAAAAAAATTGTATGCAAACATGTAAATTGCACTCAATACAGTTTTAAATTAACATCTAAATTATACTATTTCTTTTTGTTGTTGAAATATAATCAGAGATTTATTTAAATATAGCCTACATTAAATAATTAAGACATCACTTACAGCTAAAGTAAAATTCAATGAGTATATAATATTTCTAGACTTGATTTCTCTAGCAAATAATGCCAATTAACAAAAGAGCCCAAACTAAAATGTAATTACTATTCATTTATAACTACAATAATCAACACTCAAATTAAAAAAATTGTATGCAAACATGTAAATTGCACTCAATACAGTTTTAAATTAACATCTAAATTATACTATTTCTTTTTGTTGTTGAAATATAATCAGAGATTTATTTAAATATAGCCTACATTAAATAATTAAGACATCACTTACAGGTAAAGTAAAATTCAATGAGTATATAATATTTCTAGACTTGATTTCTCTAGCAAATAATGCGTTGTAGACACTGATGACTTGCCTGAGGTAAATGAAATGCTACGTGACATTTTAAACACGTCTTTCCGCGAGTGAAACACTGATTAAGCGATTACCATGGGCATGGGATGTTAATTCATGTTTATTTCACATTAAAACTAGTAGTAAAGATGAAGGGATGATCGTGCTCCCTCACGCTGCCGTCAGAACTGAGAATATTTCTAGACTTGATTTCTCTAGCAAATAATGCGTTGTAGACACTGATGACTTGCCTGAGGTAAATGAAATGCTACGTGACATTTTAAACACGTCTTTCCGCGAGTGAAACACTGATTAAGCGATTACCATGGGCATGAGATGTTAATTCATGTTTATTTCACATTAAAACTAGTAGTAAAGATGAAGGGATGATCGCGCTCCCTCACGCTGCCGTCAGAACTGAGACGTTTACATAGCTTGTCACACCACACAGGGGAAGTCGTGGCCTAATGGTTAGAGAGTTGGACTTGTAACCCAAAGGTTGTGGGTTCAAGTCTCGCAGGGATTGTAGGTGGGGGAGTGAATGTACAGCTCTCTCTCCCACCTTCAATATCACGACTGAGGTGCCCTTGAGCAAGGCATTGATTTCTCTAGCAAATAATGCGCTGTAGACACTGATGACTTGCCTGAGGTAAATGAAATGCTACGTGACATTTTAAACACGTCTTTCCGCGAGTGAAACACTGATTAAGCGATTACCATGGGCATGAGATGTTAATTCATGTTTATTTCACATTAAAACTAGTAGTAAAGATGAAGGGATGATCGCGCTCCCTCACGCTGCCGTCAGAACTGAGACGTTTACATAGCTTGTCACACCACACAGGGGAAGTCGTGGCCTAATGGTTAGAGAGTTGGACTTGTAACCCAAAGGTTGTGGGTTCAAGTCTCGCAGGGATTGTAGGTGGGGGGAGTGAATGTACAGCTCTCTCTCCCACCTTCAATATCACGACTGAGGTGCTCTTGAGCAAGGCATTGCCCACTGCTCCAGGTGTGTGTGCACTTTGGATGGGTTAAATGCAGAGCACTAATTCCAAGTATGGGTCACCATAGTTGGCCACATGTCACGTCACTTTCACTTTTTCAAAAACGGCGTTTATTGTCAGAATTTCCTTTTTTCCCCAAATTTTTCCGTACGAATACGTGTGCTGTTACACCACTAGTTGAAACACATCACTATTACTCAAATTGCCTGTTGTTTTCATCTTTCTCTCTGCAGATGCAGCAGTTGTTCTATGAGAACTATGAGCATAACAAGAAAGGTTTCATCCAGGACCTTCACAGTAGCAAGATCCACAATGCCATCACGCTGCACCCCAACAAGCGTCCAGCTTATCAGTACAGGCTGCACAGCTACCTGCTCAGCCGCAAGATCTCTCAGCTCCGGTATCGCACGATTCTGCTGCACCGTGAAGGCGTCACCATGAGCCGACTCGGCAATGCTGCAGTGCAGTGGGAGGACCAGCTCCTGGGGGCACCACCGTCCTACACACGCTATCTCCCCACAGAGCGGGGAGCTGTCATAGAGTGGGATTTTCTGACCGGCAGGCACCTGTACTCCACCAGCGAGAGACAGATGCCCCGTCAAGGCCTTGGAAACCTGGTCCGCTCAGCGCTCGAAGATACAGTGCTTCAAGTGATGGAGATGATCAACGAGAACTCCAAAACTCGAGGCCGCATTATAGACTTCAAGGAGATCCAGTATGGCTATAGAAGGGTGGATCCGCTTCACGGTGCCGAATACATCTTGGACCTTCTGCTGCTTTACAAGAAGCACAAGGGTAGGAAAGTGACGGTGCCAGTGCGTAGACACGCTTACCTTCAGCAGTCCTTCAGTAAACCATTCTTCAGCGAGGCAGAGGAACTGGATGTTGGTGACCTAGTAGACGCCATCAACGGTGACTCTCGTTCGCTCTCTTTCCTCTCAAGCTCGCTCAAGATCTTCTCTTCCTTACAGATCTCAGAATCCACAAAAGACGTGCAAGAGCAAAGTCAGACAAAAATCCACTTCCTTGTACCGCTCACGGGTCGCTATGAAGTCTTTGTACGTTTCATGGAAAACTTTGAGAGAATCTGCCTGATCCCGAACCAGAGTGTGAAACTGACCATAATCCTGGTTGACAGTGATACAAACCAGGATAAGGAGAGACACCTGGAGCTGATAAAGGAATATCATAACAGATATCCTAAAGCAGACCTGTCTATCATACCCATGTTGGGAGGCTTTTCTCGAGGCCTCGCCCTTGAGATGGGCTCTTCTCAGCTGGCTAACGACTCACTGCTGTTTTTCTGTGATGTGGACCTGGTCTTCAACACTGATGCCCTCCAAAGGTGTCGAGACAACACTGTCGAAGGAAGGCAGGTATATTTCCCTATTGTTTTCAGTCAGTATGATCCCAAAATTGTCTATGCTGGAGGTCCTCCTGAAGACAGCGCCTTTGTTTTCACCAAGAAGAGTGGATTCTGGCGAGATTATGGATTTGGTATCACCTGCATATTCAAGAGTGACTTGCTTAAAGCTGGGGGGTTTGACACCTCAATACAAGGCTGGGGTTTAGAGGATGTCGATTTGTTCACGAAAGTCGTTAATTCTGGCTTGAAAGTGTTTCGCTCCCAAGAAGCAGGTATTGTGCATATTTATCACCCTGTCCTGTGTGACACACATTTAGACCCTAAGCAATACAAAATGTGTGTCGGGTCTAAAGCGAGCACTTATGCATCCACAATGCAGCTGGCAGAATTGTGGTTGTCCAAACATTTAGGTGTCGGTTATAACAGGACTTCCTCCTGATGTTGCAAGCAATCCCTGGAGTTTGCCTCAGATCTGCAAAAGTGCAAAGCAATTCATTCACTGTATGTGTGATATTTGTATTTTCTGGATAAATGTACATCCTATCAAATAAGTACACTCCAAATCCTTTAGTGCAACGTTCAAAAGTTTTTCTTGCTATCTAAGTATGATGCAGCATCTTCAGAAGGATATTTATTGAACAAGAAGGTCTGAAAAGAAGGTCACTTTGGAACGTATTCAATGAGCTTATTTTGAGCTTAATTTGTTTTCCATCTTGCAATCTTCTCATAAACTCAGGAGCATGTTCTGTCACATGAACACAACATGGAATAAGAACACTGGTGTTCGCTGTGTGTCATTCAATAGAAACAAGCTAGTTCACACTGCAGTGGTTATAATAATAATAAAGTTGACAATAATAATGTACAGAAAGTGCCACAAATGTGCTTTAAATTTCCTTGCTGAGGAAAGTGACAAGACAAATCGAGTTATCTGATTTATAATATTGTACCTTATCTCAGTATTTTTTTTAAGGAACTGTTCAATGATTTAATTTTTTACCTAAATTTGTTCCATAATATAAAGGTACTGGTTACCATGTGGCTATGTCTTTGTTCTTTTTTATTGTGTGCTTCAGTGAACAACTTACAACTGCTTTGTGGCTTTTATGATTTTTTTTCATTTGTTGGTGGGAAAAATTCAGTGACGTTAAAATTATTTATAATAAAAACATTGATATGCATTTGTCTATGGTTTAAATTGTTTTGTTGTTGTTATAGTTGTTTTTACATTATTTATTTTATTTTAATTACGATATTACCTTTACTTTCTTGTCAGATTTTATGTGAGAAATCCTAGACCATGTAGATTTTAGACAACCATCTGATACCAGGAAGGATGCAATTATCCATCATTTTAAAAGTCCATCGTGAAATGGATCCAATTGTTACAATACATGAATAAATGTACGTTTCTAAGAGCTAAGATTAGGTATGCACGTAACATATCAGCATATCATCATGAAAAAATTATAGTATAAAATGATATGCGCATAAAAAATTTAGAAACTTTTCTTAAAACTTGTTCTCATCACTGTACTAATTCTGTTGTTAGGTGTTAAATCATTTAAAACCCAAATTGTACAGCACAACCAGTTTGTGCTCATGTTTCTCAGCCAATTCTTCTCCCATGGTTCCTCTGTGCTACTTCCGCTGAGATAAGCAGCATCACATCTTTGTCCACAAGGCTCATTCTGCAAAAGGAGAAGAGGGACTAAAGAGAAAATGAACAAGAGCTTTGCTGGAGATCTGCTTCTTTACAGTGCACCTTACATTTACATCAGTATAAAGAAAGATTGAGAACATTTGCTAAATTCTACATGGATGCCAAAAATCACACTAGTTTGTATGCCTCTTTTTACTCTAAAAAGAAGTATTTTAAGCTATTTACTTAGCTTAGAAAAATCTGTGACATAGGTGAGGTAAATAATACAATTGTTCCTTCTTTAAATTGAATATATGAACTCTTTATGATTTGATCGGAGATTAGTGGTGTGTTCCATAGTTCTCTTGGTTCTTTTGGTGCAGACCAAAGCAGAAAATGCATTTAGTCCTGGTTTGCTTAGTGTTCACACCAGGCCTGGTCTCAGAATCAAATCACTGAAGGTGCTTCTGAAAAGAGTGAAGGGTTCCTTAATTCACATCTGTTGTGACATATTTTTACCCTGTCCATTGCTATGGCACAAAGAGCACACTCTTTATAATCACTAAAAAGCTGTCAGTAATCTTAGTTTATCGCAAGATCACTTTGAACTCAGAGGGATTGGCTATTGCTTTCAAAAAATCTAAATATATGTCTGTGATTGGCTACATTGTTGTAGTATTAAAACAATGTTGTAGTATTGTTGTAAACAGAAACCTTTGATGCTCTCCAGAGTGCAAGCACACACTGAATCATTTGCCATATCTGTTTCGCCAATATGCTATTACAGCTTTAACTGCGGGTAGACTTACAGAAAACGTTTGACCTCTGTCATTGCCAACAAAGTGTATATAACAAAGTATTGAGATGAAATTTTGTTATTGACCAAATACTTATTTTCCACCATAATTTGCAAATAAATTCTTTAAAAATCCTACAATGTGATTTTCTGGATTTTTTTTCTCATTTTGTCTCTCATAGTTGAGGTATACCTATGATGAAAATTACAGGCCTCTCTCATCTTTTTAAGTGGGAGAACTTGCACAATTGGTGGCTGACTAAATACTTTTTTCCCCCACTGTATATGTCTGTGATTGGCTACATTGTTGTAGTATTAAAACAATGTTGTAGTATTGTTGTAAACAGAAACCTTTGATGCTCTCCAGAGTGCAAGCACACACTGAATCATTTGCCATATCTGTTTCGCTAATATGCTATTACAGCTTTAACTGCGGGTGCTCTTGCTTTCGTTTGAGGTTGTTTAACACCCTCAGGCACCCCGTAGGCCTGGTTCACATTGGGTGCTTCTCAAATGGAAGGACACATCCTTGTGAAACTGCATATCTAGGCTGCCACACCATCAAGCTCCATCGAATGACATCTCAAATTGAAGGATCTGCGGTGGACAGCACATTCCAGGGCCCAGTTTAATTGCAGGGCTCCTCTCTGACAACAACAGTCAACAAAGGTTTGCAACATTTTGATTGGAACTTGGTGGACTAACACAAACAAACAAACTGTCCAACATTGGCATTGCTGTATATTAGCAGTATATGATTTTCTATTTTACATTAGATGATATATAGCTTATGTCAGTTAATAACAAATAAGCTTTGTTTATTTGTTTGATGACAAGTTCCTTGGCCTTATTAGTCTAAAAGAAGCAACAATTTATCTTAAAATATACAACTTAATAATTTTATACGTACATCTTATGTGCTTTACTTCTTTTCATGCATGGTATTAATTTATTAGTAGTTGTTGATTACTCTTGTTGTTGTTTATTTTTTGTTAATAACATTTATAAAGGAAGACATGTGTCTTCCTTGTGCTGAGAATACAGTAAGAGGCTCTACAAGTTATAAATGCCAGCAATCTTTCAGATAAATGTTCTCTCCAGTTTAACTTAATTCTAATACATTAAAATACATATTAATTCTACTTCATTAATATATGTATTATTTATACATAAAAAAGGCGAGTAAAAAAAAAATGTACAAGCCAATGACGATTCAATTGCCAAAGTATTATCAGTGTTGTCAGTGTAGTGTTCTAACCTTTGAGAAATTTTCATTTAGTAGTAGGTGAGAGCACTTACTCTCATCATGACAGATGTAAAGAATCATTGTGGCCATCCTGCTCTAAAGGTTAATGTCTGGATTCATGAGGCATGCACACGCCTTAAAAATAATTAATGAAACAAAAGCTGGTAAACACTCCAGTGTACTGTGGGAGTGTGGGGCTAACAATATTTGTTTCTGCTAAATACTACTGCACTATGAAAATGACTAATAAATAGTTTTCATAGTGCAGTAGTACTGTATTATAGTGACCCAACTCTCAAGCCCCGTCCACACAGTGACTTTGCTGCTGCGGGCTGCTTATCAGCGGTCAAGATGCTATATGCATTTCTACTGTTGTTTGTCAGTAATAACATGAGCAGAGCAACCATTCCGCAGCTACAGATAATCTTTATCTATACCGTATCAAACCATTTTGACAGTGAATCTTTTTCTGATACAGGCTGATACAATGAATAATTTGTTGGGCAACCATTTATATATAAATATCTCCAGTGTGTCTATGAATTGTATCATACTACAAGATGGAAAATCAGCACATTTTCTTTTTTTAACAATCACTCTTTTTAAAAGAGACTGAATTAAAACTGAATTAAAAGAGCAATGCTTCAATCTGTTATTTCTCAGATCATTTTACAATGCTGCCCATTAAAAAATTACTAAAAAAGAGATGAAAGAATAGTGTATAATAAAACTTGACCTATTAGTCAACTCCAGTGTGGTACAAACACTCTTCACAGCATTCAAAATATTATACAATCATACCTGAATTTATGAATCAGTCTCGTTTCTTTTATAATAATGGAATAAGCATCTCAGCCTATTAGAAAAAGGAGGTACGCAATTGATAAAGTTATGAATTTTAATGATATGTCCATATATCAAACCTAAAAGAGATAAGAAATTCAGTGTAATTTTACAATGAAGAGTAGATTATTAAATGTTTGCAACATCCGCTGTTCATTGATTGATTGATTTTAGTGTGGAATGTCTAACAGCATTTTTCTGTACAATCAATATTATTGTTAACATTTATTTACTACATCTGGTGAATGTAAAAAATTATAATAATAATTTACAGCGTATAGACTTGTTTGCTTTAATTCCTAACAGAAAGGATAAATTTTTCCTGCTTCAATCATATTGGTTGACTCCCAAAAGTTGCTTTTCATTTGCATAAAGTTTCAATTTACTCAAGATACAAAAAAAACAAAAAACAATTTTGGATTAAGTATTTGCATTTGCTAGACATTTGCAGAGTTTTGCATTTTGTGTTTGTGGTTCTGTGTTTAGAGTTTTGGCTTTTGGAACAATAAGCCAAAGATTCAGCAAACGTGTAACTGTTGTGAAAAACTGTGATATTGAAATGCACTTAAATGCCTTTACAGGAGCCTGTAATTAGAGACTGAAGCCCTTCATCTGAAGCTTCCAGTCACAGAAATGATCCACAACTCTCCTGCTGTTACGCTGAGAAATGTCCCTACAGAGTGTGCTTGTAAATTACACTGAGTCTCTGTGAACCTGTGGCCAGCACTGTTTATCTAGTGGTTTCAACAGTTCCACCAACTGTGAATGTGGGAGTCACTTCAACATAATATGTGCTTATTATGAAGAAACTGCTGTCTGTTTAAACCGCTGTAGCTGGCCAATATCAGCTATGATGCATTTTGAAGGACTGCCATAATAACACATTCTAATCTTTACTGATGTGACATTTAAAGAAAACAGACAAGCCATCAGATCCCCCAAGAAAAGTCATAATTGTTACTGTTATCGACTATTTATGTTATGGAGAGCACTATAGCTATTTTAATCATGTTTTTTTTTCATTACTATAGTCATGATAGTAATGATTTTAAATTTCTATCATGCCATCCTGTGTGGTTATACTTTAAACAGTCAGGTCCATATATATTTGGACACAGGCACAATTTTTTATTATTTTAGCTGTTGACCAAAACATACTCAAGTTACAGTTATATAATGAATATGGGCTTAAAGTGCACACTCTGAGCTTTAATTTCTCATCAAAATTGGAGGAAAGGTTAAGGAATTACAGCTCTTTACGCCTCCCCCCTTTTTCAAGGGACCATAAGTAATTGAACAGTTGACTCAAAAGTAATTTCATGGACAGATGTGGGCTATTCCTTCGTTATTTCTACATCAGTTAAGCAGGTAAAAAGTCTGGAGGTGATTCTTAATGTGGCATTTGCATTTGGAAACTGTTGCTGTGAAGCACATCATGGAGCTCTCCATTCAAGTGAAACAGACCATTATTATGCTTCAAAAACAAAACAGATCCAT